CCCGCGTATAAAATTCAGGCTCTAAAAATTAAAACTAATTTTCTGCTCGTAACAACATAAAATCCTTTAAAAACTAAAACAGTATTGTTCATAAAACTAAAAGACGATGTTTTCATCCAGTTCACGACTAAAACAACCATAGAATTTAATTAAAATAGGGAAAAAAAACAGTCCGAAAATTTTTCGAGAGCTGCCACTTGACGCATGCGCAAAACCGAATAATGCTTCCAAACAGGCTTTTCATGACATTAATTATTGGCCAAAACAAGCTTTAACAGTTCGAGTCATGGTTGTATATCATTTCATAACAAGAAAGTTACTTGGTGCCATAATGATTATTAAAGACATAAAGTGGGGCGAATCATCAGTGAACAGGGGCGGATCGTTATCAGTTAAAATATTGGTAACTAATCACTTAAAATGACCAATTACTTAAAGATACATAAAAAGAACATTTCTGTTCGCAAATATGCATAAACATAAATTTCATCCAATTTTTTATAATGTCAATAACTTGAAGTATGTTATGTAATGATTATATTGAAGAGCGGCTAATTGTCACTGATCTAAATCAAAATGTCACTAAAGTCATTATGTGGTGAAACGTCATTCGGGCGAATATATTTTGATTTCCTACTTTAACAATATTCAATATTACATTAAGTTTCACAAGTCTTCCACTTTATCATAGAATGAAATTCTTCAGCTCTAGGGTTTAATAAAACTGAAAGCATTACCAAACCATAGATACATAACAAAAAACTTACACTTAATAAAGGTTGATAGGCGTATCATTATGGAATATCAAAAGTAAATTTAGAATATTATTTTTCTTGATCTTGATCTTGATCTGTATACGGTGTGACGTCAAAGACATTGTTTACACCGGCCTTTGCAATTATCAAGCGGCTTGTGGTGAAACGTCATTCGGGCGAAATGATTATCAAATCGTCTAGATCTTATTTATATTTTGTAAAATGAATTTTGTCACATGATTCTAACATGATTGAAATGACAAAGTAATAATTTGTAAATGATTAAATTAAATGTACAAAATACAGTAATTAAACATCCAATTTTTTTTAAATGCCAATACCCTGATTAACACATAAACTTCTACAATTATAATAAAATCCTAACCTGTAGATGCAGTTTTAAAAAACTTCGAGGTGGCATAATTTTTTCAGAAATGTTGATATAAATTTTTCCAGAAATTGAAAATTTACTGAATGCAATTCGTGTAACAGTAGTTTTAGTTTCAACGTAAATATCATAGTGACATGTAGCAGCTATTGTGACACATTTATAGTTACCTAAAGAGTTAATTTTAGACCGAAACTGGCGAAATTCTCCAGACGTGTTGAGCAATAATTCGTCGGCAACCACAGCAGTCTGTAACAATTATTTTCAACGAAATATGTCAAATTTTATAAACTCCAGAAAAAGATTTTACTCAAATAGAATAAATATTTTAAATTGAAATTTAAATTCAAAGTTGTGTGCTAAAATTTCAATATTCGGTATAAATAAAATAAACATGAATATTAAATTATTTCGTTTAATAATATTTCGGCTGTATCCAAAAACTGCCAGCAATCGGCTTTTACAATTTTTTTAGAAATATATATTGACTGGAGAGAATAATGTAAGGTATAATATTTGATTTTGATATAAGAATGATACTTTTATCGACTGTTTCTTTTGTAATGGGGTGTCATGCTTAAATTTTAAAGTTGCAGCTAAATGTCATCAGTTTTCGCGAGCAAAATTGTGATAATTTTCACCTGGGCAAGATCATTGAAAAACCCAAAATCAGAGTCTATTCAAGTGTTCGAAACAATTGGGGATTTTTTATAGAAAAGTGAGAATTTATTTCATTTGTTGATCTTTTTCCTTCTTTCTCTTAGTAAAATTTTCCCCCTTCCTCTGAAAAAATAAGGGGAAATTCTCAAAAATATGAGATAATCCCCCATCCCCCCTCCTACAATAGACACTGAAAGTAAGTTCCGCAATCATTGTAACGATTTAATAATTAAGTCAATGTATTTATGCAATAAAACTTTACTTCTGCTGCAATGTTCGAATTTTGAAAAAATAATGCTTCCAAACAGGCTTGTATGAAATAAATTTGGTAGTGAAGTGCCTTTTAAGTGAATGGCGCATCCACAAGGTAATATAATAATTCTCCCCAGGTGTATTACAAGTGAAGTTTGGTAGTTTCCTGCTGTGTAACCCTGTGTATTAACCCCATAAAAGGTATGAGAGGGTCGGCATCATCCCCCTCATCCATTATATATTTTATATATGCAGTGTTCGAAATTAGCAGTAGTCCTATAGCCCCTGACTACTTAATTTCTCCTCAGTCTACCAACTTTTCACAGTAACAAGCCTGACCAGGCTACTGTATTTTCAGAGTCAATATAAACAACTGTTTTGAACAAAGGAATTGTGCTATTGAAATGTCTTTTGAGCTAGTAAATATTTCAATCTGGTAGTCCAACTAGCCTAGTGGATTCAAATCCCAATTTCTTACACTGTATATGTCATGGTTAAGAACTAGTCAAAATATATTGACGTGCCAAAGCTTGATTCTGAGATATTTTCGTTCTGGGGCAGAATCTCGCTTTAACGAGGCGAGATATTGCCCAGACACGAAAATAGCACTATATCTCGTTGCGCAGTACAATTAGTTAGACTATACAGACTGTGCCGATTTTTACGGCGAAAAAATAAAATTAGAAATACAAACACAAGTTGTTTTTTTTATATTGATTAATTTCATTCGGTCTGACAGATTTCGTTTCGGTCTGACAGATTTTCATGGTTTGTCAGACCGAATGTCTGACACTTTTTTTAACTTTTGGGAAGTCTGTAAATTGTAATACAGTGGAGCCTTGCTAATCCGAACCCTTCTAATCCGGAATCCTTTCTTATCCGAACGAAGTGTCCGGTCCCGATTTTATTTGTTCTATTTTCAATAGTAAAAAACCTTTCGGATCCGGAACCTGTCTACTCCGAATTCCGGACGATTTTTTCAATTTTTGTTCTTATTTTACCCTAAAATTTACCTCTCGGATCCGAACAGATTTTGCCAAATGTCACACCTTCATTCAAAATAACAAAAAATCGCACATCTTGCAGGTGTAAACATACACCAAACTGATAAGTGTTATTTCGCTTGATTAATTGGTGGAACGTATCACGGATTTATATAAATCCGTGAACGTATGATCTGCGAAGGTGTGAAAATTATACTTAGCTTGCCTTGATATCTTCTATAATTGCTTTATTGATTGTTTTTCGTCAGCTTTTATAAATGTTTTGATATAATGCAATAGAAATATCTTTTAATCCTTTGTAATGGATTCAATGATACGTGATTAAGTAATGAAAATTACGGGAAACTGTCGGTGAATTCGGATAGACGCTGAATCGGATACGAGTAAACAACAATTGACAAATGCTGGTACGAATATTTAATCATGTATCGGCCTCCGTAGGTTAACTTACCCTTGAGGACATAATATTTTTGCTTTAATATTTTTATTTCTTTTATTTTTGTATTCACATGTATTAAAATGAACGATAAGAGACTGCAAAAATAGAATATCTAAATTGCAATTTCAAAATGTTAATGCATTCCCGTTTTCTTTCCTTAAACTGTTTTGCAAATAAAATGAAAAACATGTAAAAAACCTTCTAATTCGGAAACCTTTCTAATCCGGAAACCTTTCTAATCCGGACTTTTCTTCTAGTCCGGACAAGTTCGGATTAGACAGGTTCCACTGTAATATACATAACATTTATTTCCTCTTCTTTTATTGGTTTAACTTTTATTTTATTTCAGTTTGCTTTAGAGGTGTCTAATTAAGAACCATCTTAATGTGAATGAAGTTATTGCAATGGCAGGTGAAAGTAGTCAAGTGACACTTACCGTTCGTCTTATTAGATCATTTGAGCATCGTATCATCAAGCATGTTGTGTACCATGATGTTAATCTAGATCAGATAGTATCTGACTTCAAACAGTATGTGAAGACAGGTAATGATTACAAATATGATTCTTTGAGATAACATGCAGAGTGGCATACTGCACGGTGATAGGGCGATTACCACAACTTTTCCGCGCAACGTCAAAATATCTTACTTCTGTCCGAGACACCGTATATTTCTGTGGTACAAAATGGACAGCAAGCCTGTAACCGAGACGAAAACAGCATATAATTTGCTCAAAACAAGGTAAAATCATCATTTTTTCTTTTTCATTGAATGTGCCATTTAATTTGAAACTTATTTATCTTTACTACATGCAAAATGCTTCATTAATTAAGTCAGGATAGTGAAAACATTTAGGGTATACTGAAAAAAATCTTGCTTTGATTATGTAATATAACGTATTTCTAGTCCGTTCAGTTCATATATCTGGGCAAAATACAATATAAATATGTACATTATTGTCGTATGAACAAGTTACAATACATAAATAACCCGTTTTTTGTATATTTGGTATGATTTTTATGTTTCCACGTGTGTATTTTAAGGCACCGCACAACTTTGTCAATCATAAGATTAGTGCACCGCATTATTCCTCCTTAAAATCACCGTTGATTTTTGATATTAATTTTGCTTTCAGAAAAAGAAGACGTTCAAACCTATGTCTGAACAAGCCAAAGCAACGTGCGAAATTGGCAAAGCTGCAGATACTGCAGCAACTGGAGAGCGCCCAACTAAATCTTCTGATATCAGCAGTACGCCAATGGATCAGCGCCTCCCTGTATTTCAGGACGATATGCGTAACGCATCACATAAGAAAAAGAATATGAAGTCAAACTTTCGCAAAAGATTGTTTAAAAAAAGCACATTGGAGATGATGACTGAAGAGATTATGGAAATATTGCCCGGGTTCCTGCAAAAACTACACCATGAAAATTTGTGTTATGACTTTTGCAACTTTATCAAATTAGTATGCAATAAGAAATTCCCATTAACAAATAGTTCATTCCTTTTTTTCTCGATGTTGTTAGATGGTATATAGTCTGCCAAGAACTTCAATCTTTCCATGTGGGGTTTATCAGTTTGAATTAGTTCGAAAAGGAAAAGACATCCTTATCTATATATAGATACCATTGCACTTATCTAACTGGTAGTATTAACACAGATCAGACCTTCAGAAATTTTCCATAACATAACGTATGATATAACAGCAACATAACATAACAGTAAGTAAACAATCTTTCATCAAACTTTCATCAAATAAAAGTTATATAAAACATATTTGTAAGAGGATTGTATAATTCAAAAGAAGACGGTTCCAGTATTTATCGGTCTAACGGAAAAAGAATGCGGTGTTTAAATTCAGTGTTGTACGGTGCTCCAATATTCGGGTCAGTAGGCCTTTTTTCAACAAATATTCCCTGAAATTTACGATAGAAACACACAATTTTGTATGGAACTTGAACTTAGGGTTAACCATAATAAATATACGAGCTCGTTAGGTCATAGAACAAAGACATCGTCGTTATAACACATGTTTTTGTGACAAGTACGAGTCATGTTGAGGTACACACGATCTTTCGTAAACACTATTTCTTCGAAGTATGTGTTTTTTTGTGAATTGTATTGTGCTAGATTAACAATAAATTGTCTCAAAAATTCGATGGAATACTTAAACAATTGGAATAATCTTGCAATATCCAGCAGTAAGATATTTTTTAAGCTATTACCTGGAATTTGTTTATTCCGCCATTAATATTTTGTCCAGAAATATACGGTGTCTCGGTCAGAAGGATGATATTTTGACGTTGCGCGGAAAAGTTGTGGTAATCGCCCTATCACCGTGTACTGCACTTGTACATTATAAGTGAGGCTGGATCTGTATTGTTGGCAGCCTTAACAGGCTTATTATCTCAGAATTATCTTTCAATCTTATTCATTCTTTCAAGGATTTTTGTTTTTAAAAAGTGCTGAATTGCAAACAGTGTAGACCATGATCACACAGCCTAACCTTGGTCTGCACTAAGATAAGATAAGTTTCATTACAAGTTGGCAAGACTTAGTTTACAACAGTAGAGCTTTCATAACCTACTGTTCCCATTGGTAGATTCAAAGTCAGTATTAATGCTATATTCTATACATTGTATATATCTATCTATATATATATTAATAATACTATTTTTAATACAACCTTTGGTTTTTACATGAATATGTAAAGGAATACAAAAACATCATAGATTTTAATATAATTACGTGAAAACAATGTAATAATTAAATAAAGTTGTAAGTGCTTACAACAGTCAACTTAGAAGCACTCAGTTCAAAATTGCATAAGAAAGAAGCTGTCAATAATAGATAATGCATTTTTCTATAAATTACCTAACTATACATGTATTATTTGTTGTAAGACTTTTTAGTGCACACTATAAAAATTTATACATTTAGAACTGAAAACACATGCTGGTCTTCCACCCCCAGTCAAGACTCATAATTATGGTAAGTTGCTGTGACAACAATTCTAGCTATTTCTTCTAGCTTTTAATTGAATACAAACAAATGCTGTTTCGACTCACTTCATAGGGGTCTCAAGGCCAAGTAGTTGAGGTCATTGGCATCATACCACTTGCCCCTGTCACGGGTTCAAATCCTGACAGGGATTTAGGATTCTTTCATGTGAGGAAGCTATCCAGCTACCTTGCAAAACGAAACCTTGATGGTTCTGCTCAGGTGCCAGTTTGTGCCTCAAGGCACACAAGGGTTTTTTCCACAACAACAAAAAAAGGGATTCATTTCATGTATCTATATAATTTAAAATACAAAACATTTATTTTTTTTAAATGTTTATAATTATTTCAGCTTGATGATTAGGAAAAAAATTTCCTTCAAAACTAAGCATTTACATATACTAATGTTTAAGTATAATATTAAAAAAATATATAATTGTGACCTCAGTAGAGCACAAACCCTGTGATAGACCCCTACCATAACCACCAAATGAGTCTCTGCTCATGTGTTCTGTTCATCTGATGTTGTTTCAAATTCTAGAAAACATTAAGATTGATTTAAACACTTAACATAATTCTTCCTATGTTTTGCAGATACAATGAAAATTTCCCATCAGCCTTTTGGAGCCAAGGTATTATTTTTTTTCATCACTCTCTGTTACAGTTATAAACTTAATAAATTTTGAATTTATAGGTAATTACAAAGTAGGGCAAATAATCTTTTCCAACAGGATTTAGTAAAAGATTAGGATTATAAAAGGGACTCTACCGAGGCTTTTCGAGACGACGGGACTGGAAATAATTTTTCTAGATTAATGTTTGATTTGATGTAGGCACAGACCAATAACTTGTGTTCAAAATTTCACATCATTCGCGTACTCCAGAATAATTATTCTAATTGAAGAAAATACCAAAAATTGAAAAGCATTGCAATGCGTCGCAATTTGTCAAGGAACATCACATTAAAATGATTTTCAATTATTTTTTTTTAGTATATTTCTTAATTATCTTTTGCATACCTTTCTGTTTTTAAGTGCCCCAGCTAATTTGTAAGAAATTAAAATATTATGGTTTTAGGCCTTTGAAACCTTAGTTGAGTTCCTTTAATTATAAACAATTTAATTATGTTGGACCATGTTCAAATACACACCTTATTGAATTGGTATGCAGGAAACATTTAATATAACCCGTTATAACTATACAATGTTGTTAAAATTAGACCTATTTTTCATTTATAATTGTTGAAGAGACCATTTTCCAGAAGTTCAGGATATAGAGCATAGAGTAAAAACCCTTTTTAAAACAGGCCTCACATGTTAGTATTTTTGCACATGCGCGCAAGGACGGAATCCCCCAAAGTTTACAAGGTCATGTTTTGACAACGCACATATGAAGTAATTTGAAATGAAAACTTCTTATTATATGCTGCGGAACTGACACTTAGATTTTGTTACCTTGCAAGTTCATGAATAAATTTCAAGATCAATATTTCAGTCATAATACTTCATTGTTAATTACCTGCAGTGCTATTATATTAATTTATTGATAGTCTTGTTTAGTCAGTTACATTAATTGATTTTCCCCGGTAGACAGACGTTTCACTATTGAGACAGTTCACACCAAGACGGTTCACACCAAGACGTTTCACTCCCAAATGGGAGTGAAACGTCTTCAAGACGTTTCACTACCTTTTTATACCAAAATTATTTTGATACATTTGATATACTAAAATAGACCTAAAATATTGAAATGAATTGAACTAAAATAGACCTTAAATTTAATAAAAATTAATAAAAAGGGGGATTTCACTTTTTTGTCAATGACTTAAAACTCTTATCTTCTTTATTGTTGTTTTGAAATAAGGTGTTCTCTATTCTTTGATCTATATGTGCAATTATTACATTATTTCACTTAAAAAAATACTTTTGATTAAAATAACACTTTAATATAACTAACTATTTGATCTTTTGTAAACATGGACTCATTAGGCAAATTTAATTTAAAGCATAACAATCTTGTGACAACAATTAGCTTTGAGTAACGTGTTTTTTGTTGTTAATTTTAAGCATGGGATAAAAAATTGTTAAATCATTTAATGCTAGTATACAGTGCTTTTGCGAAACATGTCAAAAATTTTAATGGCCATTGAAATCAGAAATATCTTTAATTAAATTAGAAGCACTGGGACTTTTTCAATATTTGTCATGTATAATCATTTTTTTGTGACAAAATTTCATTATTGTATAAACAAAATGGAGGGGTTTCTATGTTTAAATTGGCTGTTGCCAAAAAATATTTAAATGGTCCAATAAACAACTGATTAGTAAACTATTGATGCTTTAAGTGCAGTGTTTATACAACTGATTTAATAGTGGTGTCAAACTGTTTGTCTCAGTGTTTATACAACTAATTAGGCGATGAGATAACACCACAATAACTTAAGTTTGTTTAATGGCTACTGTTTAATAAATTGTTGAAGAAAATAATTTTTAAAAATAATTTATTTTATACACATGTTTCGCATTTCATTGTTTAAGACTTACAAAAAATAATCATTATATTCATTATAATGAATATATTCATTATAATGAAAATAATCATAACATTATATAATATATTAAATATATTGATATTTTTTATTGTTTGAATAATATTAGATACTTTACTGGTGTTGATTTCAATATTTAAATTGATACTTGTAATATGTCTTTATTTTTCTTTCTATGTTATTCTTTTTTTTTTTAATTTACTATAAATAGAATTTTCTCATCTTGTTACAATTTTTCAGAAATTTGTTCTTTAAAAGAGTAATCTTCTAATAATTTGTATTAACAATACCATTGAAATCAACAAAATGAAACATTAAATTGAATTTCCATTTTACACTGTTTGATTTTAATGAAATTAAAATTTGTTAACTTTCCTGGTAAACATCTCTTAAAAATTGGGAGTGAAACGTCCATACAATTGACAAAATGGGAGTGAAACGTCTAGGTGTGAACCGTCTTGGGAGTGAAACGTCTCAATAGTGAAACGTCTTGGGAGTGAAACGTCTGACATTCATTTTCCCCAGCAGTAAAGCTGGAAAGTTGCCATAATTTTTATGACCTTTACAGTGTTTGTTCGAAATAACCTAAAGGGGGAAAAAATAAAAAAAACTAGAACTATCACTAAATGTGATTAATACACCCCCCAGACTGCTTTGGAAAAGAGGATGTTACTATTAACCAGGGCTGGGAATCAAAACTGCGTCGTATCCTACAAAATGTAAACAAACGCCGCCATCTTGGAACGAAAAATGTATGTTTTTGTTTATAACTCTTTTTGTTGGAAATGACTGAAAACCAGATGTATGTATTAACACGCTACACTTTTTTCCGCTTCGTTCAGTATATGTTGCTTACACAACTATTTTGTAAAACAAAAGTTATAGCGAACTTGCAACTCGAAGCGGGGCAGAATTTTTATTAAAATGTGTGGATACGACGCAGTTCATATTGCCTTATCTATCGTTTTTTCCTTCAAATCAATTATATATTCGTTTCCCGAGTTTCACCATAAACTTTGAAATATAATTTTGCCATCATTTACTAAAATTTCATTAAAAAGAGATGTTTATTTTTAAGAAAATAATGATTTTTACGAAATGAGTTACGACGCAGTTGAAAATAAAATATGATTTACAGGACGCAGGGAAAACAGGACGTTTCGGCCCCAAAACCAAATCGGGCCCAAGTTCGAAAAAATCGGCCCCTGGACGTTTCGGCCCTTTTTCGCGAGACGTTTTCGGCCCCACTTATAGTATATTGCTTGATTGAATTACAACAAAAATAATTTAATTAACAATTAAACAATTATGACTCTTTAATTTTTTAAAATAATTATTTATTATCTTTTGATCTCTTGAACCTTTTAAAATGTACTTAATGTGTTTTTAAAAGGGTGTAAAAAACAAAAAAAGCGGGTTATTTAATTTAAAAAACCCAAACCATTTTAAACTTCTGGATTAATTTTAATTCCCAATTTTTTACTTAGAAAACATGACCCTTTTGTTTTTAAAATTAAACTTCGTAATTTTTTTTCAACGGTTTTAAAACAAATTTTAACTTTTTATAGCTTTATGCTAAATTTTGGTGGTAAGGTAGGCGCTAATATCAGACGAAAAACTTCAAAAAGAATATGAAAAAAACGTTTGCTATAATCTCATGATAATATTTTTAATTATTATTGCTATTAGATAATGATAGATGCTAGATGTTATAAAACTGATTGAAAAACTGAAACCAAATTATAAATGCTATGTTAAAATATTATCTATATATGTTGTAAATAAAGTTTATGTTCTGTTCTGTTTGTATTAATAAAACATTATCTATATATGTTGTAAATAATTGTTTTTGTTTGTGTATATATTTTTTTCAAATAAAGTTTATGTTCTGTTCAGTTTGTATTGATTACTTTTCCCCTACTTACTATTATAATCTAGTTTTTATACAAAATGATTAAAATATATATATTTAAATTGATTTCATTTTATCATTTAAATGCTATATTAATATATCGGTTTAAAATACAGTACATATTCTGCGGGGCCGATTTGGTAAAGGGCCGAAACGTCCGGGGCCGAAACGTCTTGGGTACTAGTTTAGGGGCGATATGGTCTTGGGGCCCGAAAACGTTCTCGAAATTCGGACGCAGTTGTATTTTTTGGCAGTCTTTTCAACAGGGATATTTTTTGGCAATATATTTCTATTTTAATGAATTTATCATTTGCGCTAGATAAAAAAACCCCGGATTATTTGCGGTGTTTTTATAGCAATGTTCTGTTGCTTTTGATTATAAGAATACTTTGTGTCATGTTTCCAGTATAACATATTAATTTGAAAGTTTACATTGCAGGGAAAGCTACTTTTTCAGTTAAAACATTGAACATGTTACCTAATTGATTCATAATATCTGAAAAATAAGTTCTTATATTTTCCTAAAATATGTTCTTCAATTATCGTATATCCCCTATTTTTGCAAAAAAAAAATTGAGAAAGAATAAACCTATTAGCTTGAAAATTCATTTTGGCTAAGCTACGCTCTAAGTTAACTGTGGTCTTCTGCAATGTTCTGGGGGGGGTGATGACTTTTTCAAAACTTTCACTCTACACTTAGCGGGCCTTTGCGTCTTAACCCAAAGCGCAACCCCAAAACCACGAAAACAACCCAAAAACAAAAAAATTTTTATTTTTCGGAAAATGGCATTCAGGAAATTTTTAACATTTTTAAAAAATGGGGTT